GTTTTTGTTTGGGAAGTTTTAAGGCAAGGATGAGTTAATAAAATGTAGGGATTCTCGTCACCTTTTTGTGGATATAAATTTCGTTGGAAATAGACTTAGGACGAAGGAGTTATGGCCAAAAGAAATTTAAAGGGTTTTAGAGCTTCATGAGTATGTGGGGCATACTTGCCGTGTACGTAGGGTATAGTGGCTGGATGGATCGTGGAGGCTTCTTGAATACGTCGGGCGTACTAAGGGGTACACGGGGCGTACTCCCTTTAGATGGAAACCTTAGTTTTTAGGGTCTTCACCCTATTTAAGCCTCATTTGTTCTTAAGTCTTGTCCCTTGTCAGCCTCCAATTCTCCCAAACCCTAATATTCGGCCCTTAGCCACCATCTTGGAGTTCTTAAGATTTTGTGAGGAATCTTGGAGTGTTTCGTGCATTTTGAAGAGATTGAAGGTTGTTAAGGGATCATCATTTGGAGTGGGGTTTGTAGATCCAAAAGTTTCTCATCTTTTGCAATCTGTTAAAGGTAAAAAGCTCTCATTTTGGCACCTCTTTGGTTATATATTGTTTGGGGTGGTTTATGGCACATTTTGGTCCCTTTGGTTTGTCTTTATGAGGTTGAGCTTGCCTTAAGAGTTTGAACACTAGATTTGGACGTTTTAGGTGTCCTAAATGCATAAAAGTGTGACATTGATAGTTGATATCAACCCATGCATGTGTATTAGCCTCTTTGTTGAAATTGTAAAGCAAGATCTTAGATTTAGGACCCAATGTAACATACACGTTTTAAAATCGTGTTTTGTAATGAATAAAATTGTGAAATATTATGTAAAATTGAGTGTTGAGTTCTAACAGATGGTTTTTACTAGAAATGAAGTAAAATTATGTTTAGTATCACTCAGAAATATATTGGAAGTCTTATGAGATTCCAATTAAAAGCCAAATAGTGAAATTTAGCGAAAATATGAAATTTTAAATAAGTTAAATTTTATTATTTGATGTTGTAGAGAATCTCGTTAGAAATTTGTAGGCGAAAACCTCATCAAAATCCGAGTTATAACGAAGAAGTTATGACCAACCGAAGATCCGCGACAAAACCGACACAGCGCCGAATGACGTAAAAAGTAAGTTTTTAATAAACTACTTTTTAGCCTTATTAATCTAAATGAAAGTCGTAGTATTCGTTAAACCGAGAAATTCGATAAAAAGAACGCCAAAATCTGACTTCGTATGAGGAAGTTATGATTTTTCGAAGTTTCAACTTAGCAGTAGACAGCTAAAAACTCGAATTTTAGATCGAGCGATATTTTACCGATACATCCTAAATGAGAATCGAAGGTCTCGTCATATGTAGTACAACGGTAAAAAGTCTGACGAAAACGGATGTCGGATGAAGTTATGAATTTTTAACGGATTTTTCTGTCCCGGTCTGTTAAAAATAATAATATTAAAATTAAAGTCAAAACTAGCCAACGAAGTCTAAACGAAAGTTGTAGAGCATAATTCTAGCTACGCGTGCATATAAAGAACGTAAAAAACGGATCTCGTATGCGAAAGTTATGGATTTTAGAAGTTCGGGGCACGAAAATCGAAAATTTTCGCATGAATAGTAACCGGCCACGTCACCTCGCACGAAGCAGGTGCGTCACCGGAGACGTGGCCTAGACTGAACTGCCTCGTTGCTTGCTTCCGGTGTCTGACGCATGCCACTCAGCGATTCGACCGAAGTGCGAGCCAATTGGCTTCCGACGCGCCTCGCTCTTGTGTCCGAGTCTCGCACCTCCACGTCGCGCCTACCAGCCTCGCAGCCAAACCTCGCAGCCGAGCCTCTCCTCTCGCGCCACCTGCTTCACTCCGCTACTGCCACCGAGCTTCGCTTCTTAGCCGAATTCCGAACCTCGGCTTTATATAAAGGAAGCTGCGAGATCTTCCGACTAACTTTGAAAATTTGACACTTTTAGCCCCTCTTTCCATATTTTCTTCATATTAACTTTCCCCGAAGCCCTAAAATCAATTTTAGCACCCGAAACACGTCCTGAGACCCCCGAGAAGCCCGGAAATTTTATCTTTTTGGTTTTGAAGCCCTACCTTCGCAGAGCCCGGTTTTCAACATAAAAAGGCATATTTAAAGCCGAAGTGCTGTCCAAATTACTATTTTAACCCCCGGTTAATTTAAAGTGAGATCAATATATAGGAACAATTGTATGTTATGTGTTATATGTGCTATGTGCTTTTCAGTATTATCATTTTGAGTTATTTTCTCGTGTTATTCGCTATGTTTATAGCAATTGTAATACCTTTGACCATGTGATCAGTAAAAGGACTTAGATTCACATTGGTACTGGTACATAGCCTCTGGCCATGTAGAGCATGTCTCCGTAAGAGAATGACTTCTATTCTATGGCATTGGCAAATGGTTAGACAGGACTATAAGCCTGAAATCTAACAATATGTTAATTAGAAATTGCATGTTATCTATGTCATTTGGGCCAAAGCTTTATTGATGTATATCAAGAATTGAAAAGAATATCTTTGAATAATGTCTTTGATTGATATGAACGCTTGTCACATGATCTCACATACATCTTGTTGTTTCTCTTTGCTTTGCCACATTGAAGTATATATATGGCATAACATTATATTGTATCTATTTTTGAACTCACTAAGCATCACTGCTTACCCTATCAATATTTAACAATTGCAGGTAATAAATAACTAGTATGTTTACATACTATTGAAAGATGTAGAATAGTTTGTAATAGTACTTTTGTACTACTTTTTATGTTTGTATAAATTACAATATCCTGGGTAGTTATGTAATATATATAACACTTTGTAATAGAAGGTTTGTATCCAATAGTTTGTAAATCCTTTATATCAATGTAAAATATTGCTTTTATGAATATGCAAATAGCATGTTTTGGAGTAATGATAATGTGAAATATGAAAGTTTGGGTCTTTCAAAAATATGAAAGTTTGGGTCTTTCACCCAATGAGCCATGCAAAAGCTCAAAGTTAACAATTTTATGGATTAAGGCATGATTTGTATCTAGATCTAAGCATTGGACGTTTTGGCTTAGGGGATTAAGATATTTTCTAAGTGGAATGTGGGCAGGGTGAGTACGCGGGGCGTACCTTCTAGTACACACTGAGTCAGGTGGGTTTACGCTGAGCGTACCAACTGAGTACGCGGGGATTACTCAGTCTGTTGGGTTTTCTTGATGCGTTGACTGTTTTGACCTTAGACCATTGACTAGCAGTTGATCTAGGGTTGACCATTGGATATTATGGGCCTTTTAGGATATTGGGCCCTCTCAGTTAGGCTCATGATGGGTTTTGGGCTCAATTTAGATACTTGGGGCTTATTGGGCCTTGAGGTGTCATTTAAGGGATTTGGGCTTATGATGTTATTGGATTGGTCTTTGGAGTTTAGCAAAGTAAGGAAAAGGGTAAAATGGACTTTTACCCTGAAGGCTTGGTTATTGGACTAGAATTTGTGTTTGGTTGGGAATTAATTATTGATGGAATATTATCTGATGATACCAGTGCGAGATTTTCCGGTAGCATTAGTTTGAGTGCTCGGTTATCTTGGTTTGAGGTGTGTTTTCCTCACAGTATGTTTAGGTCGAAGGCACCAAGGCCGACCCATTAGATTAGATATCCTGTTATGTGATAGTATTTTACTGTACTGTAGTGATATGTTAAGATCGGTATCCTGGTATATAGGATGATGTTATGCTTAGTGATCTGTAGATCTGTCTGTCTGTCTGTAGATTGTTATATGATTATCTATTATATGTGCACATGTTTGGTTGATGGTTGAGGTTTTACTATTTTGTGAGTGGGCCAATAGGCCGGGGGCAATGCAACCCGATGGTTGAGTGAGCCTGAGGGTATTCCATCCCAATAATGACTGGACCCATTGTATATTGGCATTCCGACCCGATGGTTGATTGGGCCTATGGTATTCCAACCTGATGGTTGATTGGACCCGATATGATTGTATGACATATGGTGAGATTAGACTGCTTTGAGCATCAGTCAATAGGTCTGGGGTATTCCAACCCGATGGTTGATTGGACCAAACCGCTACGAGGGTATTCCATCTTGAGGATGACTGGGCCCATTATAAACATGTCTGGTATTCCAATCCGAGGTTGATTAGGCCAGACATGAGTATTTGAGCATGCTTGTTGGATATGTTATCTATTTGTGTGATGTTATTTTAGGGAGCTCACTAAGCTTTATGTTTACAATTTTAGTATATTGTTTCAGGTGCTTCAGATGGTTGTGGCAAGGCGAAGGTGTAACTGTATACATCCTTGTTTTTACAGTTGATTGGATATTGGAGGACTCTGATTTTAAATCATGTTTTGGAAACAATGGTTTTGTAAACACTTTTATTAGTAAATGTGTTGTTTTGAAATGTTTAACTTTGTTGAAACTTTTTGGAATGTTACACCCCAAGGTTGCTTATAATCCATAAGTGTTTATTTATGCTGTGATGTATGTGGTATCTTGGGGAACTCACTAATCTTTGTGTTTACAGTTGTTGATTATATGTGTTTTAGGTATTTTTGAGGACCGCAAGAAGACGAATATCTGATTATAAACACTCGCTAGGAGATTTGTTACTGGACATTTTGTGGCACTATGATATTTATGGTGATAATGATTTGTATTTGACATTTATGCTTTTCCGATGACTTGGTTATGAACAATGTTTTGGGTAATTTAAAAATAATTTTTTTTTTTTAATTTGGATCGTTGCAATCTAACATGTTATATATAAGGGACCATATTACCAAATCAAAATTTTACTCGTTTACACGATTTGAAGTTCAGGTCCAAATGATAAATTTTCGAAAGCAAAATTTAATTTGTTGTTTTCTTAGAGCGAACAACAAAATAAAAAAGTTAAATTACTTTTTTTTTTTTTTTTTTTTTTTTGCTAAATTTGTTCTCTTTTATGCCACGGGTGAAGCATTTGACGTGGCATCTAACGTGAAAACCCTAATAACTTAGTAACCGAACACTGCCAACTCTATATAAACTAAGAACGGCAGAAGCACCGCCGACCTCCAAACCCTAGCTCACGACTTACTCCAACTCTCCGTTTTCGTTTGTATAAATCATAATCGCTCCTGTTCATCGTTTAATTGCTAGTTAATCTATTGTAAGCACTATTCTTATAATCGAAATTCTATACATTTCGATTCCCACACCTCAATCTCTTATTTTGTGCGTTATCTTTGTTTTCATATTTTGCTGATCTGTTTCCTGATGCTAGTTGTAGCTCTGAGGAATCATGTCAGACGATGAAAGAGGGGAGGAGAAGGAGCTGGATCTTTCCTCTCCAGAAGTTGTAACCAAATACAAATCAGCTGCTGAGATTGTTAACAGTTAATACTCTTCGTCTTTTCTTCTTGTTTGTTTTTGTGTTTGTGTGTAATATGCGCATTGTGGATAATCTATTGATCGATTGTCTGTAATTATACGCAATCGTACATATGTTTTCAGCCTCTCCGAACTAACAGCTTACAAAATTTGTAGGGGTTGGAGGAGAGTCTAAAAATTACTGTATATTGCAGTATGCTATGTGTCTAAGCTGCATAAAACACGTGTTTATACTGTGTTATATACTTTATGTTTATGTACTTTATGAATTGATGCTTGAAAGCAAATAAATAGTACCATTGGGGTACGAAGAAATCTTTTCCCTTTTCCTTTTTGTTCCAAGACATGCTTCAATGAAAAAAGATCAGAAAGTTTTTGACTTTTTACTAAATAGACCATTGTTTGTTTCCTGTGTTGCTATATGTTTAACATAGTTACTTTAGCTCTTTGTTGGATTTGTTTCTGCTTTATGTTTAGTTTAAATCAAGTTTTCTTTTCAAAGTTCATTTTTTTCTGTGTTAACAAATGAATGTACTCAAAATGGTCATTTAATAGTTCAACTATACAGAGGCCTTGCAGCTGGTATTGTCAGAATGCAAACCCAAAGCCAAGATTGTCGATATTTGTGAGAAGGGAGATTCATATATCAGAGAGTAAGTTCTTTCATCCCTTAATTTGTTCATTAGCAATATTATACTAATAATTGTTCTCAAATACAGGCAAACTGGGAATATGTACAAGAATGTGAAGAAGAAGATTGAAAGGGGAGTTGCATTTCCCACATGTTTATCAGTTAACAACACAGTCTGCCATTATTCTCCACTAGCTAGTGATGAGACAGTATTGGAAGAAGGTGACATTTTGAAAATGTAAGTGTTATCGACTTTTCATCATCAATTTAGTTTTTTTTTTTGATTTAGCACAGTAGATTTTGTGGATGAACTTTAAATTATTTGGTGTGTTTGGTTTCAGTGATATGGGGTGCCATATAGATGGTTTCATTGCAGTGGTGGGACACACTCATGTTCTTCAACAAGTACCTGTAACAGGTAGAGCAGCTGATGCCATTGCAGCTGCAAATACAGCTGCTGAGGTTGCCTTACGACTTGTGAAGCCTGGAAAGAAGGTAATATAATCTAAGTGAAATGTTATTTTTTTTTTCTACATGTTTGAATTGTTATCAGAAGCCTTTTAAGTGTTTACATAATTTTTTCTACATATTTGAATTGGCAACTTTGCCGAGGTGATCACTTTTTTCTTGATTTCCTCTTTTTCCCTGTTGCCTATATAAACTCTGGCTTAATCTTGGATTCTTTTCAGTTCATCCACTCATTTGGTTGACTGTGTCTCTTGTGAGCCTACACTTCTATATCTGTGCCTATTCATTTGGTTGAATGTATGTTTCAAATTTTTAAATTTGATTAAATAGCTATAACATGAGGCAACTTTGCCGAGGTGATCACATTCTTCTTGATTTCCTCTTTTTCCCTGTTGCCTATATTAAATCTAGCTTCATCTTGGGTTTTCTTTACTTTCATTCACTCAATTGGTTGATTGTGCCCCTTGTGTGCTTATAAATTTATGTTGGTATTTCTATAACCAGTAAGGTGTTGTCTTCTTGTGCATTGTGATTTTTTAGCTTTTTTTTGTGGGGTTTTGTGTTTTTTATGTTTTGAAATCATATTGTGATTCAAGATTTTTTAAAAGAGGCAACTTTGCCGAGGTGATCACCTGTTTCTTGATTTCCTCTTTTTCCCTGTTGCCTATATTGACTCTGGCTTGTTCTTGGGTTCTCTTCATATTCATCAAATCAATTGATTGAATGTGCCCCTTTAGAGCCTATAAACTTTTAATCAGTATTCCACTTGTCAATGGATTTCTGTTAGTTTTTTTTTTGATTTTGTGATTGCATATATTGAATGTAGTTTGTGACTAAATATTTTTAAAATCGAGGCAACTTTGCTGAGGTGATCACTTATTTCTTGATTTCCTCTTTTTCCCTGTTGCCTAAATTAAACTTGGCTTGATTTTGAGTTTTTTTCATGTTCATCCACTCAATTGGTTGACCATGTCTCATGTTCGCCTATATATTTTAGTTTTTATGATTGCTTTTTATACATCTGTTTTTTTCGTTACATTGCCTCTTTCTTGCTTATACTCTATCTATTTGTGTCCATTTCATTTTGTTTTTTATAAATTACATTTTTGTTTGATCAAATTCGACATGGCATTTCTAAATGATGATACATTATTTATGGGCTATGGAGTTTTTCCTATGATGCTTTTAATAGTCATAGTTACACTGATAGAAAACCATGTTCATCCACTAATATTGATTCATATATCATCTTAACTTTCTATTTATTATTTACCCAAAAATTAGTTGACACAACCATTCTCTAAATGATGAAATACTTTTCAAAAGCTATGGGATAACATTCCATGTGTTGCTTTTTGTCATAGTTACTCTGATCGATTATTTTTTTCATTCTCTACTTTATTTATAAGAACCCATCCCAATTTTCCATATAATACTCATTTTCCATATTCTTTGTTGTTTCAGAATCAAGATGTGACAGAAGCCATTCAAAAAGTAGCTGCAGCATATGATTGCAAAATTGTTGAAGGTGTTCTTAGTCATCAGCTAAAACAATTTGTGATTGATGGAAACAAAGTTGTATTAAGTGTCTCAAATCCCGAAACAAGAGTCGATGATGCAGAGTTTGAGGAGAATGAAGTTTATGCAATTGATATTGTCACAAGCACAGGAGAAGGCAAGGTTAGTTTCGTCATTTTACCAACATTCATTTTTTCATAAAGTGTTTTCAATTTAAAGTCTAATAATTTCTTGAATGTCTTTTCAGCCAAGATTATTGGATGAGAAACAGACAACAATTTACAAAAGAGCAGTTGACAAGAGCTATCACTTGAAAATGAAAGCATCTCGGTTTATATTTAGCGAGATCAATCAAAAGTTTCCAATTATGCCCTTCTCCGCTAGGTATAATACTTTGTTTGATGGATTTCATGATTCTGAAAAAGGGTATTTTTGACAATTTGTTTATGTTGTTGATAGGGCTTTGGAAGAGAAGCGAGCTCGGTTGGGATTAGTGGAATGTGTTAACCATGAGCTTTTACAGCCATACCCTGTTCTTCATGAAAAGCCTGGTAAAAAAAAATCTTCAGTTAAATTTTAGTTAACTCAAACAATAAGGGTATTTACGTCTTTTCCATTTTTTGGTTCAGGTGATTTTGTTGCACATATAAAATTTACGGTTCTTTTGATGCCGAATGGATCGGACCGAATTACGTCTCATACCCTTCAAGAGTTGAAAACAATGACTAATAAAACGGTTGATGACCCGGAAATCAAAGCATGGTTGGCTTTACCTGTAAAGACAAAAAAGAAAGGTGGTGGCAAAAAGAAGAAAGGTAATGATTGTCTTTTTATAAAAACAATTTAATAGATCTTATGAAGTTTTTAAACATGTTATTGATTAAAGTGTTGTTTATTTTAGGAAAGAGAGCAGAAAAGGGTGAAGGTGAAGCAATGGATGAGGAGGCTACAAATGGTGGTGGCCAAGATTAGAATTAAGATTTTGAAATGTAATTTGATAGTTGAAATACAGTTTTTTTGTATCGGAATTTCTTTTTAGTTTTAGGTTTGTTTGTATGGTGGATGAATATGATTTAATTATCATAATATGTACACATTTATATGTTTTTTTTTCTTATAAAGACGAATGAAATGAAAATATCAATCTTTGTGTTTAAAGAGAACTACTTTCACCTATGACATTGCGTATACTAGCAATTTATTGCTTCGATACTATACAGAAAAGAGAATTTTACTTCTGATATCACCCGTTAAGCTTTTTGTTCCAAAAATAGAAATTAAATATCCTCCTACTACCCAAAACCTGGATAGGTAACGCTAAAAAGTTGGTTTGAAGAATGTTTCCAAGGTATTGGATTTAAATTTTAAGAAAGAATATGTTTGAATCTAATTCAATGTACTGTTTGGATGCGATAAAATAAAATTAAAAATAACAAGTTCTGTTTGGTTGTGATAAAATAAAATTAAAAATAACAAGTTCAATTTGGTTGGTGGAAAATAAAGTTGTAATCCATGTAAATTAACAAAGCTGTCCTTTCTTTTTATATTTTATGTTTAATTTAATTTTGTTTTCTATCTTACATATAAATATATATTATATTGACTATTATATTGTTTGTCTTGAAGAAAATAAAATTAAAAATAAGTTCAATTTGGTTGATAGGAAATGAATTTGGTTAATAGGAAATGTAACTCATGTAAACCTACAAAATTGTCCTTTTCGTATGTTATGTTTAATTTTATTTTGTTTTTTATCTTTACATGTAAATATATATTATATAAACTATAAAAATAGTAAAATTTCATTTTATTAATTGAGCATTCAGTGGTGGTGGCGGTGGTGATAGCAGGTGTAGGTAGTGGTGATGGTGGCGACGGTAGGGCGGTAGAAGTTGATAGCGGCGGATGGCAATGGCGATAAGTGATAGTGATAATGGTGGTGGTGGTTGTGTTGGTGGTAGGTTGTGGTGGGTGGTTGTGGCAGTTGCGGTAAATGGTGGTAGTAATGACGGTGGCGGTGGTGGTGACGGGTGGGTGGCGATAGTGGTAGGTGGCGGGGGTGAGTAGTGGTGGTGGGTAATGGTGTACATGTTATGTTGTGAAATAAAATAAAGGCAATAAGATAAAATGTTACTTTCCTTCGTAGTAAGGATTAATTCCCATAATCTTACTCAAGAAAAGTGTTTCCCTTTATTTGATGGAATATATTTTCATTTAGGATTCCAATTTAATCATATAAAGTTGAACCAACCACCAGAAAATGGTGACATTGGATTTCTCGATTATGCCTGATTTGGTATCTATTTTTTATTTATTTATTTATTTATTTATTGTGCACGTGCACACGCGCGTAATAGACCATTAAAGTCGCCACCTACCTATCAATTAAACAATTTTGTTCGTTTTGAGCAGTTACCTAGTAACAAAGCTTATGTGACATTTAAATTCATTTTGCCTTGAATAAAGAGAGTCACACATTGCATTAAATGATATTGGATTACTTAAACCCACCTCTTCAGCATTCCACATACTGAAGAGCAAAAAATGAAAGTGAGAAGTTAAAACTTATTTAACCTTTTTTTGTGATCGAGTAGAAGAACCAAAGAAGTGGAAGAAATGACATAACCGAACCATCATGTACTTTCTGCTATTGTGGAACTCTGCCATTGTTAACGTATCCCATTATGAATACATTAAAGATAACATAAATGTTATCTCCAGGACAACGTAGCTAACTATCGCAAATCTATCCTAATGCCAGACCCGAGCCCTTGCCCTCACGCTAGGACCCTTCCGCTTGGTGCTCTCGCGCCCAGGTCCAATTCATGACGATAATTTTCGGTCTATAATAGGACAAAATACCTTATAACATACACATATACAATCAAAACATATATGTGGCTATTTCACCCCCTTCGATCTCTTTCAACCAGTACCAGGTATATTTCAACCCAAATGCTCCAATACCTCCCTCGGATGCTCCTCATGCTGCTCCTGTGTTTAAATAGGGTGCAAACCCTAATAATTAGGTGTAGCACCCCAACTGCCAGGTATGAACTTTACAATTTTATTTTCTGTTTTAAAGGTTTACTCGACGAGTTGGATGCCTTGACTCGTTGAGTAGGAACGAATTTGGCCGCGTGTTTTAAGTGACCAACTCGACGAGTCAGAGGACACGACTCGACGAGTTGGAGCTTGAAGATGAAACCCTAATTTCCGGGGTTTTACACCCTATTTAAAGGTTCATTAGCCTCCCTTAGCCTCTCTTACACCCCCTTTGAGCTCAGAAACCTAAATCGTGTTTTCTCCCCATATTTGTGTGTTTTTAAGCTTGGAAGGAAGATCTTGGTGAAAGGAGCATGAAGATCAAGAAGTTTGAGGCAAGGAACGGTTGTGGATCTGAATTCTAATCCAGTTTAGCATCACTTGAAGGTAAGTGGTCGTTACCTTGATCTTTTTCTAGCTAGATCTTTCTATATTGAGATTTAGGGCCATTTTAGCATGTTGGTGTTTCATTTCGGGTGTTGGGCCATGATTTGAAGTTGCAACTTCAGATCTATGCTCATATTGGTCCTTATAATCATAAAGCTTCAGTCCTTAGCAAGATAATGCCTTTTCCTTGAACCTTTTCTTTAGCTTGATTTGGGCCATTAGCACCTTGCATGTACGTAAAGTTTGCAACTTTACATAGGAAGTATGCCTTAGGAGCTTAGATCTACAATATGGAGCTTTGGGGATGGCTTAAAATCATTTGAATGGAGAAATGACTGAAGGGACTCGACGAGTTGCATGGTCAACTCGGCGAGTTCGATGAAGATTAGCCTTAAGGGTTTCTACATGAACTCGGCGAGTTGGCAAGATGACTTGACGAGTCAGTTAGGGTTTTCTCGAATTTTGGATACGCATGGACTCGACGAGTTGTCTGGAAACTCGATGAGTCAACTGGGGGGTTTCATGACTTCTCGAGTTTTGGAACGACTCGACGAGTCAGTGAGTTGCACTTGACGAGTTGGGTCAACATGGATTGTTGACCTTGACCGTAGACCTTGCCTTTGACCAAGAGTTGTGTAACACCCAAAGTCAGAAAGACCAAGAAAAGAAAGGAAAGGCTCTAAGTCAAGAGTCAACTCGTCGAGTCCAGGGAGGAACTCGACAAGTCAGAGCGGGATCCGGGGCATAGAGTAAGTGACCGACTCTGCGAGTCGGCTAGTGGACTCGGCGAGTTTGGTCTGGACGAGAAAAACCCTAATCCTGGGGGTTGTGCCATATTTAAAGGACATTACATCCCTTCCCCAACCTCTTTGCTACCCTTTTGAGATCCAGAAACCCTAAATCGTGAGTGAGAGTCCTTGGAAGCAATTTGGAGCTTAGATAAGTGGTTTTTGTGAAGAGATCTTGAAGATCAAGAAGCTTGGATCAAGGGGGTTTACAGAGATTTGGATTATTCTTCAGTAGGAGGTCATCTTGGAGGTAATAAGCTGTTACCTTCACCCTTTTTGCATCTAGATCTATTCTTGAATGAGATTTGGGACTATTTTGGCAAGATTGAGGTCTATTTCGGGTTTGGGGCTTAGATCTGAGGTTGCTACTTCAGATCTAGGGTTATGATGGTCCAGAATGTCTTAAAGCTGCAGTCAATGAGTCATTAGTGAAGCCCCTTTGTCTTAAACCCTATCCCTAGAGTGTTTTGGGCCTATATCTCCTTGGTTTCACGTAAAGTTTGCAACTTTATGTGGGGGTTAGACTGTAGAAGAGTGGAACTATGGATTGGAGCCTCTGCATGGCTCGAAAAGTCACTATATGGGTTGAGAACTGGAGAGACTCGACGAGTCATATGGGTGTACTCGACGAGTTGTATGAATATGTGCATGGACTCGGTGAGTTGGAAGAACAACTCGACGAGTTTGTTGAAGATTGCCTTGGACTCGGTGAGTATGTTCTTGGACTCGACGAGTCAGGTCACAGAACCCCTAACCTCTTCTAGTTAAGACGCAGATCAGTGAGTTAAGTGGTGACTCAGTGAGTTGGACAAGATGAGACTTAGAGATCGTTGAACTCGATGAGTCTTGGGGTGACTCGGCGAGTTGGGTCGTATTTTGAGAGCTTCTGAGTTTAAGGACTCGGCGAGTCTATGGGTTGACTCGGCGAGTCGAGTTAATTGGAAGGTTGACTTTCACCAAGACTTTGACTTTAACTAGAGTTGACTTAGTTTGACTCCTAGAGTTCAGTTTGAAACTAAGTGTTATATTGATATTAGTAGCTTGAGGAGTTAGTGGAGCAGCGGTTCAGAGAGTTGTCGAACAGCAGCTAGAGGTTTATCAGCAAAGTTCAGCAGTGCGAGGTGAGTCTCCTCACTGTTTGTATGGGTCTACGGCCACAATGCCGACCCATTAGTTATGTATGATAGGAAGACCCGGGGGTTAGCCCTAGGCATTATGCATGAAAGACCTGGAGGTGGCTCCTGGCACACAGTATGTTATTATGTATGATAGGAAGACCCGGGGGTTAGTCCTAGGCATTATGCATGAAAGACCAGGAGGCGTCTCCTGACACACAATATGTTATTATGTATGATAGGAAGACCCGGGGGTTAGCCCTAGGCATTATGCATGAAAGACCAGGAGGTGGCTCCTGGCACACAGTATGTTATTATGTATAATAGGAAGAACCGGGGGTTAGCCCTAGGCATTATGCATGAAAGACCAGGAGGCGGCTCCTGGCACACAGGTTCGGGCAAAGATGCTGGAAGATATGATCTCTCGTGCTAGAGAGAGGGAGATTGATTTGGAGCAGATCTGGAAAAGGAAGCCAGATGAGGTTCAGGTAGCCACATGTTCAGGCAAAAGTCCCAAGGGGTCAGATTTGAGATCGAGGGATTATCAGAGCCGCGACAGATGCGGGAGGTGCGGCAGAACGCACGAGGGTGATTGTAGGAGTGGTAGTGGTGGGGATTCGGGCTGCTTCAAGTGCGG